ATGGATATACTGGCGGTAGTATACCGCCGATTTCGACGATAACAGGAAAAAAATCGGCATGGCCTCTCTCAGGTTTTTCTCTGGTGGAATCATTCCACAACCGCTTATTGAGCGTTCTTTTTTCATCTGATTGGTTGCGTTCAACAAAACACAATAGTTTTGCAATTGTTGATTCTTTGCTGAGATAGGACCATTTCTCTTGATCTAAAAGCATAACTCAATTAGTGCGAAGAAAACTTCCAACAGTACAAAATAAACATTCTGTTAAATGCAGCCATTGGTTTATATTTTAGGATCTAACAGAATATGCCAATCAGATAAAACCTAGTATGGCGCTAGTGTTGCACTAGTTTTCTCAGTGAAAAATGTCATTGAACAACTAAGTATGTGATAGTACTGGTAGTTTTAGGTTAAAGATTACACGTGTATAACGATCAATGAAGATAGAAATAAGTTAAAAAGTTTGATATTTTAAGAAAAAACTGTATTTGCGTTATATAAATCCTCCATATAGTTCGATATCGATTTAATATGGGAAAGTTGGACGTTAAAATATTACGATATTTAACCCCGGAAGACTTCCGTGTTCTGACAGCGGTATGAATTTTTTAATTTATATTTGCTTGTGTATTCGTACAAAAATGTATGTATAATTATTAAAAAATAATTTTTTATAGGATCTATATATCTTTACTTTTCTTTTTTCTAATTGTAATAATTTTAATTTTTCATATTTTAGATTGAAATGGGTATGAAAAATCATGAACTCGTACCCGCATTACTTGCCACACAAATAGCAAATCTGCGTTACGGTGGAGTTCATAAATTACTAAAAGAAATGTGCAAGCATAAATTGCTCAGTTACGAACGAGGCAAACGATGTAAGACATTGAAATTTACATGTGATCATAGATTCTATTTATTAAGAATATATCTGAAACAATAAATTTTTAGATGACGGTTATCGTTTGACGAATGCTGGCTATGATTATTTAGCCTTAAAAGTTTTAACACAAAGAGGAACAATTCGTTCCTTTGGTAATCAGATTGGTATTGGCAAGGAATCTAACATTTATGTTGTTGCCAATGAAGAAGAAACTCCGCTTTGTCTAAAGTTACACAGATTGGGTAGAACATGCTTTCGAAACATTAAAGGAAAAAGAGATTATCATCAGCACAGACATTCTGCATCTTGGTTATACTTGTCAAGAATCTCTGCAACTAGAGAGTTTGCATATATGAAAGCACTTCTCGATAGAGGTTTTCCTGTGCCAAAACCAATTGACTTTAACAGACATTGCATTGTTATGGAGCTGGTTGAAGGTGGACCTCTGTATGTTTATTAATATTTAATTATTGATTAAATCTTTGATTATATACAATGTTTTCTATATAGAAGCTGTACGTTTCATGGATTATTTTGTGTCAAGATCCATTATTCAAATATCATTCATGAATATTGTAGTTTGCTTCATCAAGGCAAGGAGCAATCTAATACTGTAGTATCAAAATATTGGCATTAACTTTAATAATGCATAGCTTCTATATAGAAAGTATCCATAGAAGCCTAAAAAACCAATATAATATCTCATTTATATTGTCTTATTTAGGTGTAATATAAACGAAGTAGATAATGTCGAAACATTGTATGATGAGCTCATGGATTTGATTGTTAGACTGGGGAATCATGGTGTTATACATGGAGATTTCAATGAATTTAACATAATGATCAAAGATGATGGCAAGCCTGTTATCATTGATTTTCCTCAGATGGTTTCTACAGAACATGAGAATGCAGAAGCGTATTTTGAAAGAGATGTGAATTGTATCCGTGATTTCTTTAAGAGACGGTTTGGATATGAGAGCGAATTATATCCAACTTTTCAAGATATATCGTAAGTAATTGAAAAGTACATTATATCTTAATTATTATATTTTGCATTGATTTAGCAAATTAATGTTTTATTTATTTTAGACGTGAAGACAGCATAGATGCTGAAGTCAAAGCCAGTGGCTTTGCAAGGCAAATAGAAAAAGAAATTGATACTTTTCTAATAGAAAATGGTATTGATTATAAAGAAGAAAAAGACAATATAGACAATGAGGACAGTGAGGACAGTGAGGAAGAAACATATGAGAATTGTGTTGATAATATTGAGGATTTAAAATGTCAATTAAAAGATTTACAGCTTCAAAATGAAATTGTTGTAAAAGAAGAATTTAATGCTTCAATAAGAGATCCAGCATTGAATAATGATGATGAACATTTGAAGAAAATATCTATGGTGCCATGTCCCGATAAGCAAAGTAATACGGAAAATGAATATAAAGGAAATAACGAAAATGTAACAGTAGAAAATGTAATAATTAATGAAAAACACGATGATTTTACATTGTATGATTTATCATCAAATGCGGAAAACGAAGCAGTATGTTTTTACGATGATACACGAAGTATACGAAGTGTTTCAACAGCTGCTACAATTGCACCAGATGTGATAAAAAAGAGAACAAAGTTAGCACTTGACAAACGTGAGAGAAGCCAAGCAAAGAGAGCACTTGCTAAAGGAGAAGCAAGCGCAGTAACGAGGATACGAAGAGATAATAGGGCTACAATTAAAGAATCAACAGGAATTTGGGGTTGGGAATAAAGTACAAGTTATTGTAAGTCATTTATTACATATATCATTAATAAAATATTTTGGTAAATAGTTTCATCATAATACATATACAATATATGCATGAATGTGATTATTTTTCTACATTATTTGTGCATTATTTTTATTTTATTTTATTTTATTTTGTATGTAACACAATGCAAACAATTTATTTAATAATCTTGTTTATTATTCTGATCCTTTCAAACTTTAATATATAAAGATAAGTAGATATATATTTATGAGAAATAAAAGCGTTTTTAAAATTGAATATTTGTCATCTTAGGAAAAAAGTACATTAAAAGTAGATTAGAGAAAAATGTCCTCTAAAGACGAATATTCAACAAAAGATAAAAATATAGAAAGCAGTTTTATTTCAAGAACTAATCGTATACTTTATTGCTTTGAGTAATTTTGTAGTATTTATAATAATTATGTAATTGCAAATAGGTAAAGGGAGAGTGATCTAAATCGGACCTATTTGCAGTTTTTGCTCTTTACAAGGCGTAAATAAAGTCCGATCATAAAATCAAAGATGCCATTGAAAAGATCATTTAATTCCTTTCATTTTTATTTCAGATTATTTTGACGTATCTTTCATCTGTATTAAATAATGGAAAATATAAAAACGGTTTTTCGGGTCTGATTTGGAACTATTGGTTCCAAATCGGATCATCTCTCCAGATCGGACCGTCCTATTTTTATGGACTTTTAGATAAAAATTTATAAGATTTTAATTTATTTTTGTTAGTATTGAGCAAAAACGAGCAATTTGGTAGTTAAAGATAAAGATTTTATTCAGAAAAAAATTATTTACAGTTTATATTATATTAAATTATTTACAGTTTATATATATTAAAATTGAAATCAATAAAAAATTCAATTAATGTGAGTCTGATGACTCATGATATTTTATCGATTTAGTGTTCCTTAGATCAGATCTGGTCAGTTGATCACCCCCCAATACTACAATCAGGTTATGGCGAGTCTTCTTTCTTCGATGAATTAGCTGACTTATTTGGCTTTTTAGTGTTTCTTGGTCTCGTTTGCGTTTTTTTTTTTTTTTTTTTTAGTTGATACATTTGTTTCGTTGCTTCCTCTATAGCAATAGTTTCAATCGCAGCATCATCAGTCGAAATAATTGCTTTTCCCGGTTTTCATCCTCGACCGGTATTTTTACATGGAGGCGCTTTTGGAAGTGGACAAATGGATTGGAATGTTTCGTTCAAATTTACTTTAATCTCGCTATGTTCGATTGGCTGAATTGCTGAATTGGGCAGGAAGTTAATTTCTTGCAAAACGTCAGTATCCAATGGACAAATGCCTGTTGCTATCTACTGTACTGTAGGTCACTAAATTTAGACACCCAAAGAGAGGTCCGATTTGGACACAGATCCTTTTAAACTTTTAGAACAAATTTTACAATAAATCGCAAAAGATTTTTAACGTCTTTTAAATAATGATTTACAAAGATTTTCTTTTTAAAAAAAATTTTTGCACGATAGTTAAAAATACATATTTACGTCTATTCTATGACAGAACGTTATGACAGAGAACTGTCAAACTGCTGCCACATGGGTGTCACATGGTAAAGACTTTACATTATAAATAGCACGTAAATCTACTTATCCATATTCGTTTAAATTAAAAAGGTCCTATTTAGAATACAGTTTGATTTAGAACATTCTCCCCTAAATAAATCAACATAATATTGGTTTACTAAGTGATTGGTTTTTATTTGTGGATTCATAAGTAAAAACCAATCGCTCGGTGAGCAGACTGCATCCGAAATCCTTTAAAAAAATGTTGCAAGTCGCTTTTAATCGGTGAGTGTACGTAAAATCTATGTATTATTAATGAACAATTTTACCTTGAGCACTATTAATAATATAATTGAATACTAATGCAGAACTTTTTGTTTGAAACATGTCCTGATAGTTTAATTTAAACATAGAAATTCCAGAGGTTCAGATTTTTCCCAATTTTTGACAGACAGATTCGTCATTACAAATCTAAAATTTTTAAATTCTAAAGCCAGTATTCATAGTCGATTTATTTTAAAACTGTCTTAAGTAATGTCTGAAGATGCTAATACAGCCATCTGATTGGTTCATGACATTTTCTTGACTGTACTTAAAACGATCCTAAATATAAAATCCGATTATGAATAAGCCTTAAGTAAACTTTCACATCAGGTTTCTTCAGAATTTTATTTTCTAATTTTCAAAAATTTCTCATGTAGCTCTTTCTCTAATTAAAAAGTATAATGAAATTCCTTCTCTTAAAACATCGAACCAATCGGAGAATTTTGAGAAATACCTTTCCTAAATATAGTATGTGATAAAAATTTTCGATCTTAAGAAAAAATTCGTCATTCTTAAGAAGCGACAGTTTAGCCTTGAGTGCGAAAGGAGCATTTCTCTGTAGAGGTACACTTGGTACATCATCAAGAGAAGGTATATTGTTTTATGTATTTTGTTTTGTCTTCTCTATTGCGTATTACACATTTCGCTGCAATGCAACACGCGAGTTATGGACATACGGCCGATTGATAATAAGAAAGAAAAGTAGGACTGCATATACGGTATAAATCGATTTGTTCCGAATAACGTGTTTCTGTGACGGCATTGTCAACGGTTGATGGTGCAGTTGTGAAATATATGAACAAATTGGACTGTTTAATTGACTTTCGCGCCGCGAAGAATGTTGAGAGTGGTGGTGGCGAAGTAAACGGCCTAGTAGGCGATAATAAGGCCACATTGATAGCTCCAAGTACATACGTATAATTGCGACGCGTGTATATATAGCAGCAAGTTCTCTCTTGAACGCCGAGTCCCTCCCCCGAGTGCGTTGTATTTATCAAGATATTCAGAAGCGACTTGACACAAGCGAATCACGGCTGAAGATTAAACTTGTTTCGAATTTCCGTTGAAAAATCATGGCTAAGGACAATCTCACTGCTATACTGTATGGCATCAACGATTTACGCCTGGTTAGTACCACGTTCCGGAAACATATTGAACTTGCACAACTGCGCTTGCTCATATTCGAATCGAATGCACTCTTATTATTTCGATTAAGCTACAAACTGTTATTAGCCTAATTTATACTTAATAGACAAAAATGAAAGGATCAAGCAAGATTCGAAATATAATTAAAAAAATAAATTATATTTTACCAACTGTTGTAAAGAAAATGAAAAATTTATAATTTGTTTAATATAAAATCTGATAGCCGAGTTAGCGCATTTATGTACTATAATTTTTTTAATATAGTAGATTATATCTACTATATTAGTAATATGTTATATTTGATTCTTTTTTAGTTATCAAATTAAGGCTCGACTATCTCGAGGCGCCGTATTGGTTGTGTAACGTCAAAGGAAATGATATGCAATAAATTAATTTTTGCATACATTGATACATATTTATTTTTTAAATCCATACAAAACAGAATAATTTCGTAATCTTGAAACCTGTAAAATATACGGCAAACTGAAACATATGTCTGATATGTCAAGTGAAGTGTAAAATAATTTCTGAAATAATGATACCAAAAGATGTTCTTAAAAAATCGCACTCCGCACAGATGTCTTAGTTTGTCACATATTTTACAGGTTTCAGGATTATGAAATTATTATGTTTTTAAGGGAAAATTAAAAAATAAAGGTACACGTTACATTCGATCTTATAGATGTATTTATCCTTTGAAACACTATATAAATCAGTTTTTAATCTACGTTTTTTTTTGAAGCTAGAAACAAAGAATAGCATCTTTTTTTATTGAATACATCGAATTTCAAAAATTTGGGACAGACTAATGTGTTATTCTTGTTATTTCTCTTTAATTTTGTTTTATTTAAGCAAAAAAATAATATAAAAAATTACATTTTTCTATAAGAAAATTTTGTATTTTGAAAATAAAAAACTAGTAATTTTATAAAAATAAATCTTTATCAATTTTTTTTTAATTCACCAATTTTTTATGTAAAAGTATAACACAAAGAGTAAAAAAAAAGAACTTTTTCTTGAGAAAACAAAACCTGCAAACAATTTTTTTTTCTTATTTAATACGTTATAATTAATAAAAGATTATAAACATTTTT